GTTGGTCGCCGGTGGGCTTGAGGCCGAGGGAGCGGAAGAGGCCGGCCAGCTCCGGGTGGGTGATATTGCAGTCGGAGTCCATGTCAAATCGCATGAAGGTGTCCATCAATTGCTGGATCTGGCCGGATTGCACTGCCACCGCTGATTTTCTCGGCCTCGCCAGAGAACAAAGAATTCAGGGGTTGGCGAGCTAGGGTAGGGGTTGTTACCATGGAGGAGAAATGAGAGATCTAAAATATATGCCTTCTTATATGAATGAATCCGGCCCAAATGCTTTACTCCTTTTTTCTTGAGTTATTCGGTGGCTGTTGTGCTGGTGATTTGCTTTTTCTTCCCCTTTATCCATGGACAGTGGAATGGAGGAAGAAAGTTTGTATGAAGGAGGCTAACGATTGAATAAGGGGAATAGGTGGAGATGTGTTTGAGATTTTAGGGATTTAGTTTGTGCGGGTTGGTTCAAAAGTTGGGTCTGGTCTGGTTAGAGGGTTGGGTTGGTCAGATGATAGGGCGGGTTTTATTGACGTGGCGGGTCGGGTCTCACTATTTTCGGGTTAAATAGGGCTGATTAGACGTTTCCGTCCGTCACGTCAGCACTTAACGGACTACATTAACGGAGATGGACGACAACTAACGGAGAGTGACCAAATGTGAATGATTTCACTAAACTAAGTGACCACCAATAGATTTAAATATTTTCAGTGACCAAATATGAACGTTTTTTGTAATCTCAGTCACCAACCATGCAATTAACCCCTACTTCATTTATCCTTTCAATATATTTGATTATCTTGTTCACGGGACAAAAAGTGTGGCTATATAGTTATACTAACACTTTTCTTATTAAATTTTCTCTCATTGTATCGGTTTGGTGTAAGAGGATACCCAAGGATGGACTTTCGAAGTTGGAGAACACAGAAGCTCTGAGCCCGCACACCGATTTCTAGGACCCAAAAAAAGCCCACACCTACCCCAAATGGAAAGACGGCCCACATCAGCCCAACAAGTGATCGAGTGAAAACTTCCTTCGCGAGCATTCACTAGTACAGCAGTTAGGGGTGTTCAAATGATTACCATGATAATTATCAAACCTAATAAGTGTACAATAATATATTATCATAGGTTGAAATAGACATTTCTTTCAAGTTTTCTTCCATCATATTTTATGAGTTTTTATCTAAAATAGGAGTTCATATGTGTTGGTATACAATCTACAAATAAAAATATACCGTATGATTTAATTAATATTTGATTATTGTTAAACAAAGCAACCCGTAACTCTTTTTTCGTGTGTTCATCTTCTTTCCATTTTTTTTATTCATAAACACATAAATATGTAAGTCGATGTTCCGGATATTGGTTGAAGGAACCCTTGGTGATGGTTTGTCTGATCCTATTAGCATGTAGTGGAGGCAAATAAACACTTGGTAGAGAATACTTTGAAGGCGTATGCTTCAGATTTCAACAAACTCAGTCGGTTTGATGGAATCAATTTCACCCGCCGGCAAGAGAAAATAAATTTTTTGTTGACTGCTTTGAAGATCATGTACATACTGGATCCTGAATTGTCGCCACTTTCTTAACCATAAGACACTGATTCTGATGAACTAAATGCAGAACGCCAGAAGAGGAACGTTGACAGGCTGCTTTGCAGAGGATACATCCTCAATTCACTATATGACCGTCTTTGTGATATGTACTCCCAATTGACGACCCCCAACAGAGATATGGACATCTTTGGAGAATCATGGTACTGCAGCTAGGGGTGTTTAAATGATTACCATGGTAATTACCAAACCTAATAATTCTAAAATATATTACCATTGGTTGAAATAGACATTCCTTTCAAGTTTTCATCCATTATCTTGTATGAGTTTTTATCTAAAATAGGAGTCCATGTGTTGTGCTCTATCTATACTCTACAAATACAACTATACAATATATGAACAATATAGAACTTGATTTTTTATAAGCCTAAGAGGGAGGACATTTGACACTTGAGCGCGAGCGGTTATGCAAAATATTAAGTATGTGCATATAATATTTATGAGATATATGGCTAATCACTTAACTGATTAGTTTGGTTATGAGTGTCTAAAACCAAACCAAACCACCTACACCAAAAAAGCTAAAAGATTTAACCAAACCAAACCGTTATTATCCAAATACTACCGATTAAAATAATTACCATGATAACCACACCGTTTGAAACCCATTGCTGGAAGCAGATCTGGAACCTCCGTCGGTACGGTAGCTAAACTCCCCTCCGGCGTCTGTCCGGCCGGCACCCATCAGCATCCAATCCAGTTCAGATGAAACAACCCAAAAATCCTCCCGGCGACGATTGCATGCTTCGCAAACCCGCCATTTCTGTAGGGTAGTAGAATGGCAGGGCAATTCTCCTTTGGCAGAAATCCATAATAAGTGCAGCCATATATGAATGATGAGATTCCTGCCAAAAGGAGTATTGCACTGTTATTCTTCACTACCCCTTAATCATATCTTGATCCCATGCAGCCCGATGATCGATGACCTTCCAAAACGAATTGTTGCAGTTTATATATATATTTGTGTTGTTATATTCGCACATTGCAATGGATATGCGCTACCAAAGGTGAAACGGCATATGCCAGAGATCATTCCTCTATACCTGAATCTCTAGCTTTCTTCATTCGTATATATGTGTGTTAATGGTGAATTTGGTCCCCTGTCCCCCCGCCTCTTTCACTGGCTGAATGGCCGGGCTAGCTTTCCTTCCCTTTTTCACCCTGCATGCTTTTCAGATTCATATCGCAGCAAAATCAATATTGCTGCATTTATTTATGCGGAGAATCATCCATCGTTTATACCATTGCCTCGAGACGCTGCGTACGAACCAATCGGCTACATCAGAGGATAGAGGAACGCAACGCAACCTTATTGCAGCGACTAAGAGCAAGGAAAAGGAGAAAATATATATATATTTTCTAATTCTGATCAAGATCCTCGCTTTAGTCTGAGCCAAAATCCTCATATTCTAATTCTGATCAAGATATACCAAAAGTCCTCGAGCTCTCGTATCCCTCGAAACTTGATGATCTCAGTTACTAAATGAGATGGGTCATTTCTTATGCGTGGATTAATGTTTGGTGTGTGTATATATCCAGACATTTGAAAAATATAGATATTCGAAAATGTGGACGGTGCTCAAATGTGTTATTTGTTAAAAAAAAATTTTACATTATGTCTTGACAAACGAGTCATTTGTTGCGTGTAAATATGCTCATACGAATTACTCCTTAGTAGTAGGGGTATTCAAATGGTTACCATGATAGTTACTAAATCAAATAAGTCTAAATTCTATCAATCATGAAATATAATATCATAACCAAATCATCCAAACTAATACGGCAACCAAATTAACCAAACTAAATTTTTAATCAGTTTGGTTGATTGGTTAACCAGAATAACCAATACAACATACACTATCATTAAATGGGTAATTTCGGTTAGGGCATCAATTCACAATTTATATAATGAACAACTCATAATAATCAACCCATAATGATTAATTAACCCTTAAAATAAATACATGTAGCTAATACAATTTATCGTACGATTTGACTCTTGAGTGGTTATGCAAAGTATATATTAAGTATGTGTATATAATATATATATATATATATGGGGAGTTCTACGGTACCCAGGGTGAAATCCGGAGTACCGGATACCTTGAGTAAGAAAACGCTATCCAGAATTTGAATTGGCTGATCTTTCGGACATGATACTATACTCTAACCCTTAAAGATCAAAATCTAGGTCTTAATTCTCTAAATCTTATACCCCTAGATAAATTTAATTAGAAACAATAATCGACGATTATGATTCATCCAAATATAGGCAAAAAAATCAATGCACCATCTTAGAGTTTATAGTTTATAATTTAGATAATTAGGACCTAGGATTCACTCATTAAGGGTTAGGGTTTAGTATCATGCCCAAAAAACCTGCTAATTCGAGGTCTAGATAACGTTTTCATACTCAAGTTATGTGGTACCCTAGATTTCACCCCGGGTACCATAGAAGGCACCATATATATATATATATATATATATATATATATATATATATATAGTGGCTACTTCAGCGCACTCAGTGCACCCAACTCTAAAAGTGTCCATAATACATCAAATTTTGAACTTTAATTCGTACTGTCAATCTAATATGATGATATGACATAGAAATAGAATCATAACAAATCAATCTATTACCCTAACCCCTTAACCTTCAATTTTGAATTCCAACCCAAAATCCCAAATTGTAAACCTAAACTCTAACCCTAAATCCCTAAATCCTAAATCCTTCGAATTAAAGTAAATTTTGAATGAATTTTTTCAAATTCACGTGATTCTTGTTCATAATATCATAAGTAACAGTTGATACCATTTTGACATGAATCTCATGCTCATAATGACAATTATGAGGCGGGTACACTGAGTGCACCCAAAAAAGTGAGTGCAGCGAATACACCACCATATATATATATATATATATTAGATATATATGGCTAGTTACTAAATTGGTTAATTTGGTTTGAACGGTTAGGAGTGTCTGAAACCAAACAAAACTAGCTAAATTTTTTAACCAAACCAAATCAATTATCCAAATTAACAAAATACTACCGGTTAAAACGTTTACCACGGTAGCCACTCCGTTTGAACACCCCCTACTCCTTAGTGACTTTTCTACATTAACTTGGGTAAAATATAAAGTAATTCGAACATATTTATACCTACACGATTGGTTTAGTGATATTATCATCACCGGTCTTAAACCTGAGACTTTAGATTCAAATGCCTTAAAAATCCTAAGAATAAGATGGCCACTTTGAGAATTCAAAAAATCCAAACAGAATGTGCTACGGTATATGCTTACTACATGGAGAAAGAAAGTGGCACAGACTTTTCCCCTTTATCTCATTCAAGCCCTACATTTCTATACATATATATAAACATGGTTAGGTTCCAAGTTGATATATGAAGCAAGAAAACGTCGATGAACTCGTATGGATGCATTACTGGGCAATAACTCCTTTGGCAGGCGCGCATGCTACTAGTTTACTCTGGCCATTGTTGGTTGACAATGCGCAAAACAGTGACTAAGCTAAGCTTACTGCCAAAGGAGACTTGCCCCGCAATTCAGCCCTACACTATTATATTACATTCATTCATCATCAAGTATATATGCCTAATGGATTCATCATTCTCTCTTCTTTTCTTGATGTTTGAGGTGAGATTTCCAATGGGCTGGGGATGGGGAGTTACGGCCTTACGGGCAGTTTTGGGCTTGTAGTAACTGGGCTCTTTCTTCTGCCAGACTGCGATATTTAGCCGTTCAGTCTTTCTTATCCAGACGGACCAATCGATCGCTATAGCCGGTCCAACGGGCAAAGACACACACCCAATCATTAATTATTTAGGACGTTGTTCGTCATTTTTAAAACTTCGTTATTTAGGACGTTGTTAGTGTAGTTGGACGTTGTTCGTCATTTTTAAGAGAATGACTTATCATTCGTTCTTAATTATTTCTCCAGACATCTTTGAATTATAGGGTAAATTGCAAGTTTGGTCACTGGCCGTTAGTCTCCGTTAACTTTTGCTGATGTGGCAATCAACTTTTATAGTTCACCGTTAAATGAGTGACGTGGCAATTAAAAAAATAATAAATTATTAAATTTAATATTTTTATTTTTCATCTAATTATTATAAAAATTAAAAACCCCCTTTGGAATCGGATAGTGGTGATATGGTTCTAATTCCTTTAATTATTGTTTTCCACCGTCGTTCCTCTCCACCCCCGCATGACTCAAACCAGAATGGTACACTCTCAATATTGAACCATGTTGATTCAAAGTTTCGCCATCAGCAAAGCTAAAACTCTAGCTAAATGGAGGAAGATTAGTTAGATCAACAATTATCAGTAGGGATGGCAATTACCCACCCATGGGTATTCTTGCCCAAATCCAATTATACCCATATATTATGGGTAGGGTATGGATTTATTCTATATAGGTTTGGATAGTACTTGGGTAGGTGGATTTGGATTTGGATTTTGTTTTCCATGTGAAAATGGATATGGGTTGGATATGGGTATCCATCACTTTGGACCTGTTTGTAAATGTTTATTGATTTAGGTACTAAATGTAAAACAAAAAAAAATTGAAGTATCAAATTATAATTTTTGTATAAAGTTCAGGTACTAAATAGTAATTTGATATGTAAAATTAGCAGCGAAACCTTCCACCGGAATTTCCTCCGTCGACCGGTCTCTCCGCCAGTTCGCCGGCAGCCGGAAACGTCACTGGTGACTCTGGGAGTCTGGGACCCGATTCGCCGGTGAACCTGGAGCGTGCCTCAACTTCGTCGGAGCCGGAAAACGTCGCTGGTGAAGCTGGGAGTCTGGGACCCGATTCGCCGGTGAACCTGGAGCGTTGAAAATCATCCACAAAACAGAGCAATCGATACCATACTCTCTTGCTTTCTTCTTCTCTAAACTCTCAATCCAATAGAAACCATGTCTTGTTGCGGAGGAAAGTGTGGGTGCGGCTCAAGCTGCAAGTGCGGCAGCGGCTGCAACAGCTGCAGCATGTACCCCGAACTCATAGTTGAAACAAGAATAAGAGCAACAACTGGCTTATGAATAAATGCCCAGAACTCACCAGAGCAGATAGAAACAGAGAGGCTAGGTATGGAGGACGTGGCGGGTGGCCGGTCATCGATGGTGGAGACAGAGAGCACAGCTGGCCAAATGGAGGACGATAGTGATGGCAGAGGGGATAGCGCAAGTGAAAGAGGTGATGGGTTCCAAGGCTCCGCTCTCTTCTCGATCCGAAGAGACAAACAGAGGCAGTGGGTTACAAGGCTCGAGCTGGATCTTGGAGGAAGGGATCAGATCTCTGGTGAGTCGCGATCTCTCACGAATCAACTGCGTCTCGAATCGGAGCTCAGAGGGGTTTCGAATCAAGTTGCGTTTCAAATCAAGTTGCGGTTCGAATCAACTGCGTCTCGAATCAGAGCTCGGAGTGGGTTTCGACAACGATGGCGGAGCGGGTGCGATCTAGTGGGTCGGAGCTCGGAGGGGATAACAATGGCGGCGATGGCCGTGGCGCCGACGGCGGTGGCCGGTGGCCGGTGGGTAGTAGACTACAAAGACAGGTCGGAAAGAAAGAAGTCTCTCGACTGAGATGGAAGTGAAAGAGAGAAAGTCTGAAAGAGAATCTCGATTTTTTTTTGTTTTTTGTTTTTTCATTTTTAATTATTTGGATTTGGATAAAACAATCCAAATCCATGGGTAAACCCAAAGTAGATCCAATATAATGGGTATGGGTTTTGACCCATCTGACTTCACCCATTTGAATTTAACTTGCACTCCAAACCCAACCCAACAAGGTTGGATAATTAAATACCCATGGCTATGGGGATTTTTGCCATCCCTAATTATCAGATGATCATGCAAGTCCCTGCTTCTCATGATTCCCGGAACATCTATAAATTTCATCGCAAAACAACTACAAAACAGAGTAAGAAGATTCGGGGGGAAAAGAAAGAAACAGAGTACCTCTACTTTTTCATTATAGCATCTCTCTCTCTCAAACACTGCAATTCAGTCCCGAAGACCTCTGCCGCCCATTCCTTCCACATCGATCGGCACTAACTAAAACAGAAACACTAAGCATAATCCCAAACCATGGATTCAGTTCCCATCAAATTTCATGTAATTTCCTACCTTTGCTACTCTGTTTTTCAATTTTTTTTCCAAGAGAGTGACCAGTTAATCAATGGGTAATGAACCCTTTTTTCTTTGTTTTTTTGTTTCTCCCTTAATTACCTTCAGGTGAAGAACAACGGCGGATCCAGAATGCAGTAAAACACTGTGCTGCATTTCAATATAATATTATATACCGTAAATAAAAATAGTCAACATTTTAAAATTTTAGTATTTCAAATAAAAAAATAGTTACCAACGGTAACAGACAAATTACTAATATTTTGATGCGTTACAAAAGATTTAGCTAATATTTTGTATTTCGAAAAGTTTGGCTAATAATTTGGAAAGTCTAAATGGTTTGACTAATAAATTGTATTTACCCAAAAATATATGATAACAATAGTTTTCATTCATTACAATGCCAGTTGTAATAGAAGTTTTTTTTTAATTTGGCAAATCCATCAATAATAATAGAATCTCCATCAATATCAATAGCATACTCTCTCTCAAAGAAAATAGCTAAGCAATCAACGAGAAATTATTAGCATTTTGTTTCGCAAATTAGTTTTAATATATTTCATTGTTTAAAATGTTCTCTCCATGGTAGCCGCTAAAACGGTCAAGGTCAACACTAGACGAATCAACCAACAAATCAATTTGTTTAGAGGATTTCCTTATTTCAATGAAACTTTATACACTCTTTTACATTTTAGACTTTTAGGTTTTATTGTTTTTTTCAAATGAAAATCATTCGGGCTAAAATTCCTAGCCTAAATTGAGATTAATGGTTTGGATATGTTCATCTAGACCATTTTTCTAACTACACAAAATTTATTATCAAATAGCACTCGACCGACCATTAAATAATACTGGCCTGAATACCTAAAATCGAAAAATTTATAAGCTCTATATTAGCTCTAGATCCGTCGGAGGGCTAGGCCATGGCCCGGATTGGCCCAGCCCTAGATCCGCCGATGGTGAAGAAGAATGGAGTATGGATCCTGCTACTACTAGCAGCACTAATGGCAGCATCAACGGATTGCAGAAAAGGAAAGGTAGTCGACTCCTTCGAGTACATTGCGATAAACTGCAGAGCCCACAACGCTTCCATAACAGACTTCGGAGCAGTTGGTTTCAACCACTGTTTGCAATCCCGATGTGCACCTCAGGGGAATCATCTATGGCTAAGCGTTTCCCTCTTTCCAGTTTGCGATTTTCATTTTCTAATTCGCACTCCCAAAAATATATAATTCGCGAATTCTTGGCGAATCACAGGGAAAACGCGTTCTGCCGCTCCAAATCGGGAGCGTCGGACCCAGAATCACGAATTGTAGGGGTGTTCATATGGTTACCGTGGTAACCGTACCGGATATCGTACCGAAAAAGCCAGCGGTATGGTATTTTATGATAAACCGTGGTTTAACCCAAAGGTAAATCTCAATGGTACATCTTTGAACACTCAATGGTACGATATCGTACCGGATATCGTACAACAAACAGATCGATCGTCTGGGTGCTGCTTCCTGGATTCGTGAATGTATTAGACAGATTCAATGAGTGAGGAAGGCGTTGGTCATTTGGATCTGTTTCGTGCAGGGGTTCTGTTTCGATCATGGGGTTCTTGCTGGTTCGGACTGCTGGATCCTTTGCTTTGACTTCCCCTGCTTCTTTTCAGATTTGGTTCGATCTTCTCTGTTGGTTTTTCTCTCTTTCTCTTCTGTTCTTCTGCCTGCGAGATCATCCCTCCTTATCTCCTATGTACAGCTTTGAACACTCTCTTCTTAATAAAGTCTTTCACCTTCATCAAAAAAAAAAAATATTAAATTAATTCAATACCACTCATCAAGAAGTTAAAGATCTCCTACAAAACACTTAAACTGTACATAGTTTGATGTTGTTGTCATGGTATCGTACGTAATCCTAAGGTCTAGTAGTTGTCTACAATATATTTGTTTAGTAAATAGGCAGGCCCATTTAATTTTTGACTCATAATGCTTTGGTTTGTTGTGCACATGGAAATAAAATAGGGAATCATGAAAGTTTGGTTTGGTTGGTTGCATGGAGATGGAAGTATAAATAGTTTTGTATATTAGGTATATCATCAATTGGTTAATTGGTTTCATTGGTTAGCAGTGTTGTTGTTTTCCCGGCGAGAAAAACTAGATGAACAGAATTGGATTTTGCACCTTTGACTTCCAAACAAACGATCAAACAACACACTTCACACCTCTTTGAACAAAGTTCAAACAAGGGTGTTCAATGTTTTGATGAACTACGAGGCAAATCTACATTAAATTAGCCCTACTCCTATGGAGGTTCAGTGAGAGCTCCAAAAACTACGACTATGGCTAAAATCTGCAGAGGAAAAGATAAAAAGATAAAACTTGACAAGTGGTGTCGAGTTGTGATTTTTGCGAACCCCTTCTCTGTCATCTTCACCTCCTATTTATAGCCATAAGAAGTAACTGTCACAAGAAACTGCTCTACTGACGTGGAGTGACAGTTACCCTCTCAACTGCTTCGACGGTTACCTTGACGTTGGATGTAGACCAATCATGTCCTCTCCTCTTGAGACCTCACTCCATGCTCTTGGTATCCCCTCCGTAGCTTTGCTTGTCTATAGAGAAAAAATGGCTAAGGCATGAAAGCAGACCACGTTCCACATAGCTGGTGACCCCCTGACCATACCACAGGGGTGGATATTAATCACCACCCTGATCATATCATGGGGGTGGCAATATGGTACCCACCCCCTTGGTACCTCCTGGGGATGGCAGCATGATGCCCACCCCCCTTACCACGTCCTGGGGGTGGTATGATGGTGGCCACCCCCCCCCCCCTGGTACCTCTTGGGGGTGGTTATTCTTCTCTTTGCCTTAGCCAAATTATGCCATCACCCCCCTCACCATGTCATGGGATGGCAGTATGATGCCCAACCCCCTTGCCACGTCCTGGGGGGTGGTATGATGGTGGCCACCCCCCTTGGTACCTCCTGGGGGTGGCTACCATACTCCTTGCCTTAGCCAAATTCGGCCATCACCCCCCTCACCATGTCATGGGGGTGGCGGTATGATGCCCACCCCCCTTGCCACGTGCTGGGGGTGGCTTCACCATGTGGGTGGTGGTATGATGCCCACCCCCTCTGGGTGTCATGGGGGTGGCTCTCATACTTAGCCAAATTTGGAGATACATGGCGCGCGTGGTGGCACGAAGTAATGGGCCCAAAAATCCCAATCTCCATGGCTCACTCAACTGATTTAAACTGATATGGTTAAGTGGGCTTTATAAAGCCATTTAGTTCCTTGTTTTTAACCGATGTGGTACAAGGTTAATTTTTATGGGTAAACAAATGCCCCCCAACTACTTAGTGCATAAGAATTATGGACTAAGTAGTTTCACACCGACTAGGCCATCAAACTCAAATAGTTGGCCATACAATTTAAATGACGAAAACAATCCTAATTTCTTCTCCTTTGCTGCCGTGTGGGAGGAGTGAAGGGAGTCAAACATAATTATTCCATAGTCCTTCCATCTCGACACATCCGTGCCCCCATGCCACTGTGACCATCAACAGTTATGGTCACTCTTAAATCACACAGCGTGGTATCTTTTGAAGTTATTGGGCTAGAACAACATCATGCCCCCCTAGTTAATCCAAACTACTACTAATCATACCCCATGCCATTCACCATCACCTCCATGTCTTGTCATGGGCTATATAGTTCACACCTTACAAAATTTTAAAGTTTGGCATGGTTAGGCCACCTTAATGGCCTTACAATACGAGTAAATGATTGAGGCTTACCAGTCGTGGCAAGATTCTCACATCAAAACCTATTAACTTCTTCTGAAACTTGCCACTTTGGGATTTTAAATATATATATAGCCATGATTGGCTTTTCTATATTAATTAATATTTTTTTTCTTTTTTTATTGTATATAATAAGGAGTTACAAGCATCATTGATCTCCATACCCTTTGGCAATAACCAAAGTGCCAAAGGTATACATCCACTGCCAAGTCCATGTATTAAACCAAACAAGCCAACCATACACCATATGGACATGGTTGTTCAAAGGAGATGATTCTTCACAAGCTGACTTTGAATCACCCCCTACACCATTTTTTCCCTTCTGACCATTACCATCACTTTGGACTTGGGCATGCTTGCCCTGGTCAGACACTATCACTTTGGAACCCGTGGTCATAGAGTTATCCACCTCAATACTAGCATGACCATCCTCATTTTGTTGTGTTGGTCTCACCATCTCACTAGGTACTACTGGGTATTGCCCCTTTCGTACTTTGGCATTTTTACGTAGGAATCTCCTCCTTTGAGTCTTTGTCATCCCCCCAATAGCTACTGGTTGACTATGCATATCATAAGTATGCCCCCCTCCTTGTGGCACATTGGGCATCTTAGAAGTCCTTCTCATGGGAAGAGGGCCATGTGCCACCCATTGCCTTCTTTTCCCCCATGTCGGTTGAATGACCCCCTCTACTTGTATTTGATAGGATGGGTATCTCGGCCTATGGGGTGGACCAATTCTTTGTTGGACTGGTCGATTCGGTCTCACCTCATCAAGTCTAGAACTCCTTTTGCATTGGGCACATAGCTTCTCCACCTCACTTGACACCTTAGAAGCGGCCGAGTTGACCTGCGTACCCTTCGATGACTCTCCCTGCTCGAACACCATGGTGGGGGTCCCTTGTTGCGGTGTTGTATCCAACGCCAGCTTGAAACGGGGGAGCTCAATTTTTGAGAAGTCTGGGTTAACCATGTTGACACCAAGCAAGT